TGTCGACAGCTAGATCTCTATTTCACTCGCGGTCTTCTTCTCTCTCTTCCTTCCCCTTTCTCTCGTCACAGTCGGAAAGAGGAACAGAATACTTAGGCAAATAGGAAAAAGCAATTAGTACCTATTATCTTGTATACATATTTCTCCTCTCGGCGATATAATCTTAAAGGAAAAACCCCACTCCTATATTATCACTGGCTCAATTCATGTCAACTGATTTGTTGACATATAGATTGCCTTTTGCACATGCTGCGAACTGGGTGATTGAGAACGTGCGCGTAACAATGTGCACGACGTTGCACGTGGACAAATGAAAAAGACACAAACGTCTGTGTCTTAGAACAGGATGAATATTATAGGATGACCTTGGCTTCCTTCACGCTCTTCAGTAGAAACAACAGCGATCGTAGGATGGTAAAACTCAAAACGGGGTTTCCGAACGTGCGTTGACGAGTTGACATAAAAACGTGTGTCGAAGAGTTCGTTGCGGACGACGTCATCATTACGAATATTTGACGGTTAATCTACTCTGCTGGATGAAATGTCTTGAATTTGTTCGCGGTGGAAGCAGACATGTTCTATAATACCTTGGTTATTATTTGAGAGACCAAACAAAAAAAATGCAATTCGCTCATTGCTATCTGTTGCTGTGTATACTAGGGTCTTTCAGTTCTCTCAACCTCAAAGTTGAAAGAATCCTATTGGAAGGACGACATTTTCTGGTCTCTTTCGTCGACTTCTTCAACTTCACAAAATCACCATTGAGAACTTGATCGTTATTGCAAATCGACTAGATACCAGTCGTATTTGTTGCAACACTGTGCACATAGCGTGCGCATCAAATAGCGGACAAAGGAATTACTTTACTCCTTGCCTTTTTTTCACTATATATTATCGTCGTCCGTTCCATTCAGATCATCTGATCTGGAGCTTTGGTCTTTGTCGTCTGCTCGATAGTGCGTAACAGAACAGGACGAAGAAAAGGACTAAGAGTCGCACGGTTTTGTTCAATGATTACTAGATGCTGAATCGACTTTCGTCCTGTTCACGCCAAACATTATCTTTTCTTAATTTTTTGTTCTTCGGTGAGTTCATTGGGACTAAACGCTCTTGATAATCTCGCCATTATGATTCGTGGATTGGCTGTATAACAAACACTATTACGAGAATAATGCGAGCTAATGCTGTACAACACCTAATAGTCCCTAAATATAGATGGTTTGGTCTGGAACCTTCCTGAAAGTTTTCCATTGATGTTTAATGCGTGCCTGTGTTTCAATGCGGTATAATAGCGAAGTACCAGTAAAGCACAGGTGGCAGGTGATCGTGGGGCTGAAATGCATCGTACAATGCATTTTGATGTTAGCCTCAGATGAATGAATAGTAGGAAGCTTTCTTTGTCTGATCAGCAGTTAGTTAATAACCTACCATTTTTCGGTGACCTCAGAAGTAATAAATGGTTGTACGGATGGTAGCACCAGGACCTCACCAAAATTGTGTGATGGTTTCATTTTTGTCGAATGGGGTTGGCGACGTTTATGCTGTACCCTGGTCGATGTGCCGGCCATTGTGCGCACTAGGACTAGCGTGCTGTTGTAAGGACTAAAAACTGATTTCAAACATATCGCAATTTTTCGACAAACAGTAACAACGAATAAAATAACGTCAGTATGGTTCCGATAGGCGCACGAGACAGGAAAAGCGGCCCAGTACCCAGTGTCGTTAAGGGAAGCAATAAAGGATATTGGCTATTTGGTTTATAGCAGCCCAATGGCCGCTAGTAGAATTACTAAGCTAGCTATTGTACATTGCGACTACACTAGCGCTGATAACATCGACGACAAGGACAACCGGAGATTCCCTTGGTGTTTAGAGCCAACACGTGTCTATATCACGACTCGCTCAGTTTTCGGATTGAACTCGGACTAATTGTCGATAATTCTGTTCTTGTATCCTCCGTCCGGCACAGCCCTCTCATTGATATAACCAGTAACACGCACGAATCGTCGTTATTTCGCATAGAATTGTGTTGCCTGTGGTTTCTCTCAACTTTTGTCTGAGGACGTTCTACGATAGCTCTATAGCTTGTGATTCTCCAGGGAAAGATGAACAAAAACGGCCAACCTGCTGAAATCGTCAACATTGAAAATGGTGCTCCGACCATTGAACAAACGTGAATGGTATCGTTGTTTGGTTAAGTAACCCGCATGGGCTGAGATAGCCGGGACCGGCAAAGAAGGAGCACAGCTATTCGAAGTGGGTCAAAGAAATGCACAACTCGGGTGTCAAAATTTTAGGCCTATAGAACAGGAGACGTACGTTTAGTCGGCGAAAACTTATTACCTTTAATGGGACATTTTAATGGCAAAAAAATTGATTTTTTTAGCATTCAAACTTTTATTATCGAGGTACCATGTGAAATTATAAGCATAATAGTAATGCTAACCACTTTGGATATACTTGCGTGCACTTCGGTGCCACTGTGGGCATATTGAAAGGTTCTGTGGACCACCAAATCACTATCCTTAACCTTATCAGAAGATTTTAATCATAAAACAAAATGTTCACCCTTTCACAAAACACCTGATTCGTCATAACAGTTCTAGTTGTTTTTGTATATATATCGTAAGACATTTCATATACATCGTGCAACACCTCATACGCGTAAACCCCAAAAGTAAACACAAATCGGGCGCACATACTTACGGGTCACGGATTCGCCTACGGAAACATCGTGTGTGCGGAGTCCATGGTACCCGGCTGTTGCAGGCAAACCCAGCGGACTTGAATAATTCTTGAACTAGTTGGATTAGAACGATGATTTTGTTATGTGTTAAAGGTACTCTTGTTCATTTTTTACAAATGTCCTAATGCTCTGGTAGTTTTTGGACAGCCATATACATAGCATTTATGTACCCATGTATAGTTTTTCTATCTGTGGCTTTCAACAGTGAGCTGGTAGCGGAATACGCTTGTTCGCCAGTTGCTCATATCAGGACATGAAAGCCCTCATAATCAATTGGACACTGTTCAAGACAACAGACGGGTCGAAGCAAACATTGGATATTCCTTTGCTCAATACAGAAAGTAATTGAAGCATGGCAATGAAGTCATTAGGTAATCAGATCACATGCCTTTGGTTGCTCCCTTGAAAGACTCGGGGTAGCAGACGCATTCATCGCATCTTACGTGAATATCTTGTAGTGGCAGAAATACCATACATGGACCATACCGCGTCCATAGCCATGCCCGAAGCGGGATTTCTATTAATTGGAAGAAGTTTTGCAAATATTTCCCACGGGCACGAACCACTTTTACCCACGCGTTTTCAGTATCTAGGATGTAATTCTGTAACACACTACATATAAAATGCCAGCTGTAGCCGACAGGGACCCCTGCTTTCGTGAAGAACTTCTTCGATTAGGGCAATACACTTTTGTCTCGATATCCAGTCACCTTTTCGTTGACCTTTAGTACCCCACTCTGCATTCACGTGCTGTGCGTCGACTTGAGGCTTCCTTGACTAATGCCTTCATCAATCTCCGGTAACTGTCGGAGCACTGTGGTCTTCAAGGAACAACGTAGCTATTGAGCTCCTATTTTCAACATTAAATGATGCTTGTTCCTCCGAACTCATTTGTTCTGGAGCAAACTCGAACGGTTTCTCGAACGCTGGGCTTAAAAAAATCATTAAAATAAATGCGACCCTGTACCAAACGGTATCGTACTAAACTAACGAGCACCTAAATAAACGTACGGACCGACGCCGTGAAGTTGTATCATTATACTATCGCCAACTATACGTTGACTTAGAGCCGCTTACCTCAGCAGTAATGACATTGATTTGGTTTAATCTACTGTAGTATCATGTAGTCATTGTCCTGTCCCAAGGAATATCAAGGCGTGTCATCACCATTGCCACCACTGCCATCGCCGCCGCCGCTGTAGACTGTAAAATCAAATGTTTCATACCGTTATTGCTACATGCTGATGTTTTTTCTTATGATTGCCACTGATAAAGACCTACTGCTAGCTCTGGGTCGCAGTTACGGCTGAGTCTGATCCATTGGCTGTTGTTAGCGCAGGTTTTCGGGAGCATCGCTTGTTCATAGCTACAGTCAATAGCCGATAGGTGTTGCTGTCATTGAACAAAGCTAGTTGAGCGCGGACCAGCGCCACCGCTGCTATCATAGCAAATGACAAAGTCGTTGTACACAGATGAAACAGAAATGCACGACGGTGCAATGAACGCCGGTGGTTACCGGCGATTCCGTTGCCAACGCTGCGCCGCTGTATGGATAGATCACTAGGGCCGTGACGACTTCAGCAGCCGAAGACCGAAAACGGCAAAAATGTGGCATGCAACGGTCAGAGCTAGATACCCACAGAACGTTCGATATCGTTATGGCTAGTCACTGACGCGAAGGCAACACGTCGATCGCGATGACCCTTCCATCCAGGCTCGACTTCGGCCCAGAACGGCAGCAGCAAACAATAACAGCAGAAAACAGCTTCAGTTGACGATAAGCTGCTGATTCGTAGGCTAATTATCATTAGTGCTTATCTTCGCGGGCGGCGTCTGCGTTGGCCATGGCGACGCTAAATGGATTCATCCGTCTCAATAGCACAGGCACAACTGGGTACATTAGTTAGCAGGTAGAAAGTACTTGACAGGATAGCTCGCTGCGAGCTGATCGTTTGGCCTGTTAGTTTCTTCTAGTCCAATTGTACTCGCAGAGAATGGATAGATATTAATCTATGTTACGAGCACGTTGGACACTTTAAGGCGAAATCCAGTTTCGTACGACGTCGAATCAAATGAGGATGGGAAAAGGAGTATCAGTTTATATATTGTTTCTAAAGTATGTCAGTTATAGCCTTCTAGGATGTTAAGGCCATTCGGTTAATCGGGCCAATACTGAACCGGTAACAGTGGTAGGGTGACGGAAGGATGAGGCAGCGTATATAACTATTCGAATTGTTTACTTTTGTTGTTTCAGGCACATATGGTAGCTGCTTTCGAGCAGTCGCTTTCTAATATGACCAGCCGGCTACAGCACCTTACAGCTACTGCTGAGCAAAAGGTTTGTCCTTAGTTCCAATTCGTAACTATACGATCATTTGGTTCTGCGAACGCTCGAGCAGAAATTGAAAATATTTTTTTTCTCGTATGTCTAACTAGTTCTCCAGTACATAAAACAAAGGTCAGTTGCTAACATTGCTAGAAAGCAAATTCCAATCTAATTGCAGATTGAAATAAATAAGTACCTCGGAATATTTCCAGCGACCTAAAAGTTCGCATCGTTTAATAGATGCCGTCCCGAGATGTTGACACGTTTATCGTAATAGCTTGGGGCGTCAGCCAGCGAACGGGAGGACACGAGTTTTTCACAGCACCAGTGGTAATTCATCTAGCAAAAACTTTTTAAAAACGGCTGGCGTAAATATAATTTTCTCTGTTTCAAATTTTCTCATTAACGGACTAAGCTATACGCATCTAACATGTACAGATACTGCTCTAGGACGTCCACATTTATGAGAACTAAAAGAGGAGCTTTATCACATGTCTTGACTAGTTTTTTTTCCTTTACTCTGATCCATTTTTCCCTATTCAATCAATCATATTAGCTCCGGCTGACTTTCTCGCTTCACGAAGCGAAGTCGCTCCTCTCGTGCTCGTGTCCTTGTGAGCCTTTCCTGAATAATTCTCAGTTCGCAGTACAAACAAGCTACGACGGTGAATCACACGTTATGTTTACCATACGTGAGCTCACAAAGTGCCTTTCCGTTAGTCACCGGCATCCATTGTTTGTTGCCAACATATTACAATGTTGCCAATGGACTGGTTGAAACAAATTCATAACGTTTCGCTCTATTTCCGCTGTTCTATAAACCTCTCAGTATGTCCTTATTGGCACTGATCGAACGACTAATAGTTACGGGACTATTATTATTGTTGTTGTTGTTATTATTATTATATTAGGCGTCTAGTACAGGACGGGATTATTCGTGTCCTTCGGGTCGGGTTTTTAAGGGAAGGAACAAATATGGGAGGTTATGGCAAAACTTTATGCTACTAGAATTTCTAAGGAAAGCTACAGTTTTCTTTATTAATTCATTTATTATATATTACTCTATTGATTCAGAAGTAATAAATTAATTGAGATGTTTATTTATGTTAAACAAGAATATATATCGTTCTGCTAGGAATCTGATTGACAGTTTGGATGCACGGCTTGATCAATCAGTTAGGTCTTCGATAAATTAGTTCATGCCTGTTTCTGGGTTACGCTACGTTACAAACAATATCTAGTTTGTTTATGAAATAGTAACTGGCTAGATAGATGACTAATCTGTATCATCGCATTCAAAGATCAACTTCCGTTAGTATACGTGCCTTTTTGATATTTGCTTGTCCACTATGCGATCGCTCCGGGTTCAACCCAAATTTGGATTCATTCAGGGTCACCAGGTGATTTTATTTATCCTCTATTTGCTCCTCAATCTATGACTAAATGTTTTTCTGTTGAAGCAAGAAGGGAAACACCGAATGTTCGTTTGGTTCTTTTCCCTTTAATTAGCTAGCATATGAAAAGTAAAATTAAGCTCGCGTGCATCAAAGACCTACCCTCATGTAACATTATTACATTCCCTTGCGTTCTCCGCTACATCGACTGGACACAATAAACAAAGCCGCAGGTATCGGCACTTAAGGCAAATGATATGTGTTTGTTACGATATTTTTTCACGTTACTATATGTATTGCCACTACTAGAATTATTATCAGTGGTTTGCCGAATCGGTCTGAGCTTCAGCGAAGGTCGCTCCTGTTTTTATCATTACTCACTTGGGTTATCCGTTTCTATTTAACTTGACCATGTATCATTGTGTGACACCGTATACTGCCTCTAAGGGGCGTTCGTTCATAGATTTGAAAAAGCGTCACTGTAGTCAACAGACGTCGCTACATTAGCGCCCCACACGTTCAGCTTGACTGACGCCAGAAGATCATCGACCACCGCAAGCACAGCGACAAGCACAGCAGTAGCAACATTCTACTGCACTCTCCGCAGCCACGACGTTGCGACCCAGCCGCTTGGGCTCCGTTTGGCTAACCTGCGACCAATTTGCCAGCCGTATTGTTTGTTGCGTTACCTTATATTCACCGTATTATCACGTTCTTTTTCAACTTATGACCTCTGCTATTTCGTTTCATCACGCCACGTTCTTCGTCGGCACATGAGAGCAATACCGTTTATCGGTCTACAGCCCGACGTCTAAATAACAAGTGCACGAGCGACTCGCGACACGTACGTACTATAGCGAGGGTGTTTCTTACCGTGGCACGTTAGCAACCGAACACGATTCTCGAATCGCATTGAGTATAACGATGATTAGTTGGAAGAACTGGGAACGTGATTGTCTTTGGCGTTAAACGTCTGCTTAGCGCGTTATTAGCAGGCTAATCTTCAAACCTCTATTCTACTGTGTCCAGCAATGGAGATAGTGATGGCAATGACAAAAAACGGGGGCTCTGCCCGGCGAGATAATTGTACAGCTATGATATGAAATTTCAGCTGCTTTCAATAGCTACTAAGCTGCTAAACATTTACCTGTTGATAAAGTTGTTTTATGAACCGTGCGAACACGGTAAATCGACGCGGACCACTTTATCGGGAGTGGTTTATTATGTGACGTGTTTCAAGAATCGGTAAAACGATTATTTGGAACTGTTTTGTTCGATCCAGCGGTACGTAAAGATAGGACGACAATTTAGCTCTTGCCGTAACCCACATTAAACTTTCATTACGCTGTTTTTGGCTTAACCCGTACAATGCTTAATACCTTCCTTAACAGATATTTTTTATTTACATACAGCTGATTATAGTCACGACCATGAACAAACGGAAACAATGTTTGATTCCAATCGATCGATGCCATCCTTAAAAAAGCATCAGCTTTTGAAGGGTCGCCGTTGGATAATTTGGCTTTTGCCTAAATATATCGAACTACCATATCGTTTTGCTTGGTCGCCATGACTGCCATATTGTAACATATATTTTGCGTAAATCTAAGTGCAAGTTATATCCTTTTATTTGGGTAAGTCCTTCCACTTTTAAATTTAAGGTTCGGCCTCAAATCCCGCAGGGCTCCACCACCAGCTGACGTCCTGTTTCGACAGTCTTTGGTAGACCTGTGCACCAGTAAAGCCAGGCGATGCACCAGCTCTGCTACGACCGTCCACCTTTATAGCGGAGACAAAGCTGGAAGCAATGAAGACGCGTTTTTCTCTAATGTAATACCAATAACGGCAGTAGGCTGCGTCTAAGAACGCGCCGCCATCATGAATCGTATCGATGAGTAGGTTTAGAACAATGGCGGCGCGGGGTACCGACAAATTGCAACGTTACCGGGAAGCTGAAGTGCAGCGGCATAAAGCGCTTGCCACTTCGACTAAATAATCAATTATATATTATTATTGCACACGACGCCGTAGCCTATTGGTACTGTATTCATTGTAGTTATTGTTATTACGGATGTTGCTATTCGTGATAGGCGCAAACGCATGTTGATGTTGTCGCATTGGACTCCTTTCTCTAGGAGTGGTTGATGGCTCGTAGAAACGCTACTGCTGTGCGCATCTTTTTTGAAACTTTCTAATCGTCTTCAGACGGCATCTGTCACTCTTGCATATCTGTATTTGTTTACATATGCGTACTAGTACAATTGCAACAGGTCTTCGACGTCCAAAAAATAGCAGCGAAGATCGCGCATACCAGAAGAAGACTTGCATTGAGTAAACAATAGTTCATGTTAGTGCTGTTACGGCAACAGCATTACTACTCGACGAAGTGAAGTAAAATCAATTGGCTAATAGAAAAATGTTTTACGGGCCTCTGGAATCTCTGTAACACACAATTGACAAAGTTCTTGTTGACCTTTTTAGCGTCGTCCCGCCGGACCCCAATGAAATGGTGGGCCATTCCCGGAACAAATATATGTACATATGCGTACAATAGCGATGTATTTGTCGACGTCATTCTCAATAGCGGCGTCATGTAGATGGAACGGAAGCTGCTGGGAGTTAGCACCTGCTATTATTAGCGTGCATAGCCGTGCGAAATATGTATTTCGACCACGACAACACGTAGCTGCCTGCTATTACAGGATGATTCTGATTTCGCTGGTGTCAACGTCTATTGCTTGTCTATTTTATGCATCATTAAGCTTACATTAGCGGGTACATTATTTAGCCTATCCACTGAGGATGATATCTTGAACGTTCCCATCGATCTCTTTTCTTCGTTGAATGGCCTCTCTGATGTTCACCGATGGCTGTGGGCGACTCGGGTCGACTTGCTTGGGGTGCGCAGAAGGACAGAACAGGGAAGCTGCGGGTCGCCGTCGATACACCATTTCCGTTGTCTGGACTGTTGAAGTCGTCGATTTCTGGCTTTACTAAATTGGGCAAACACTTTGCGCCTGTAGTTCGCAGTGTTCTTTACAGACGACTTCGTTCAGTGGGTCTATCTAGCTGAAGAGGTAACATTGTTGTGTTAGATATCATCATTCTTTATTCCGGGTGTTCGCTGTGTTCTCACTTCGAAGGCAGAGGGATGGAGACCTGGACGACATGAAACGATCAACGAACAGGTCGTCTTCGCATAGAATAACACTAATCGTTGGCTATATATGCCATAGGAACTCTAGCCCTACTGGACGGTCCATGTCGTTCACTGCTATGGTTGTTATTGCTACTGTCGTTGTTCGTGCGAGACAGACAGGTGACGCCGCTGCTGATGGGGTGCTAATCATCATGGAGGCACCGGCCGTTTCGACAGAGTCATTCGACTCACTGGGGGCTGGCAGAAGATAAAGAAGGCATAAATTAAGTGGCTGCCGGAAAAAAATTTCCCTGATTCGTCCGAGCGATCTCGAACAAAAGATTCTAAAGCAGAGATTTGTTTTTATGCTTGAAGAATATACATACGTGAAATGTGAGTAGCTAAAGATGCAGATGGGAACGTTCATCCGGGATATCGCGTGTAGCTTATTTGGCCCAATTCTGAGTCTATGGCAGAAAGCTACGACACGTATATACAGTCCCTTCTAGTATAAGCAAGAAAAAGACTTCAAAATCTAACGTTATTTTGTCCTTGTCGCCTCATTCCGAATTTCAGGACTCCGAACTTCTTGAGCTCCGCAAAACGATTGAGGCGCTTCAACAGCAGAGCGCCGAAGCTGGTCTGACGAAGGCAGCACTTCAGTCGATGCAAGCCGTTCAAAGAAGTAAGACCTTTAGTGGTCCCAATGGAGACAACGCATCTAAGTCGTTGCCTCAGCTGGCTCACCTACAAGCGGCTGGGTCAGGATCTTTTAAGCAAGATAGTAAAATAGTGGAGACGTCCTCGCAGCTAGAATCCTGCGAGGACTCTAGCTCCTCTTCGCTGATTCTCGGAAATAGGGATTCCCACCAGCTCGTACAGCACCATAGCAAGGACAAACGTGGCGTAGTGATACGAAGGCATACGTTTAACAATCCTGTAGCGACGGTGGCCAACAACAACAATAACAACAACAATAACAACAACAACAACAACAACAACAACAATAACAACAACAACAACAACCACAACGTCAAGGAGAACACTGGTGGTGGTGTACCTAATGGTGAGAATGAGTGCGTGAACGAGTTGAGAGAGAAAGAGGAAGAATAGGATGGGGAAAAGGAGTGAAAAGCTATGTTTATGCGTAACTTTATTCTGGCATGGAGTAAGTGTGATTTGCGTTATTCTGTTGAATCGACTGGCTAGATTCAAATTTGAGCACATTTGCATGGTTTGACGATTTTGTTCGAGTCGGATACGAGTTGATTAAGAGCAGGCCCGCCGTGTACCTAATAGAGGAAAAGCCTATTATATACGTAGAAGGTGATACGACCCACTTTAACAGTGGAGTTGTTAGTTATCGAATTCTGCCTATTAGCACTTCATCTAAACTATTGCCCATGGGCTAATTGAACACTAGTACTTATATTTGACTGTAGCTATATCGTCGCTCGTCGTATATACGGGTGGACGAAGATCATTTGCTTGTAATTGGTAAATTGCATGTTTCTCGTTCTCTGAGCTATGGACTCAGGGGATATTCTTAGATCATCAGTTCGTTTCAGAAAGTATTGTTTTGGCACACGTACTTTCCTGTCAATAGCTTATACTCTATGGGTTGATCGCTAGCATCTAGTTTCACAGTACTAGAAAGGACAATATTGTTTCGATTCGGACAACAGGTGTGCCTCTAACTGAAACGTAAACTACAAGTAATTCGCTGTGTTCGAAGCCGTATTGCTCTCCGTCATCGTTTGTCTGTGCACCCGCTAATCTGTGATGGATATTTGTGAATACTCTATGTACCTGGCACGTGTTTATGTCGCATAACCTGCGCGAACGAAAAAAAAAGGCCAAAATTGAGATTCAAGGCCGTATGCATGTACAGTGCTATGAACCGTCCTATTCTTAGTGAATGTGAGGCTGAGCCAAACAAGCGATCGCTAGACGCGCGTCTGTTTTATTTCAAGTGCTCTCAATGCATTCTGCTTTCGAGTTCAATTGACGTCTTATGTGCTCAAGCGATATTTTTTTTCTACAGTCTACTACATCTGATGGACGGGTGTTGCGCGGTCCTGTGTTGACCTCTCACTCATTGTATTGCCATACAAAGCGCCTTACTCAACAAAATAGGCCTTTTCCTTTGCTTTATTGAGTATTGGATTATTTAGACGAGTTTCTCATATGGCTTTTCAGTGGTTTGCTTATAGGCATGCAAAGTAGAACGGACTTGTCGCTGACCATGTGCTTAGCTGATCATAGCCGATTTGTCTGTTTGTGGTCACGTAGATGCGAGCGAGAAAGAATCTTTGTTTCGATGTTCTCCTTGGCTTGAACACGGTGGCGCTATGACATAGATATAGAAGTAATAACAAAAAAACTAACAAAAACTCTACTAATGTTGTTGCCGCCTGCTCAGTTGTCCATCCGTCTGTCCGCGCACCCGTCCACGTATTTCAATTTCACCACTTTCCTAGCGGTCATCTCTAAGGATGAACCTTTTCACTGCATGAGATGTATCCAACAAGCTGTCTCTGTTTGCTCTCGCAAGTAGCGCTGTCATTCCGCCTTCTTCCTGTGTTTCTCCTTTCCATTCGGGGTTTCTTCACCGCTTGCTTTATGGTTACCGCTCTATCGAGTTCTCCCGTAGCACTACTGTCGTTTGTACCCTATGACGATATGGATCGTTTACAATAACATACAGATCAGCTGGAAAGGTAGATTCTGTAGTTAGTTTCCTCGATAAGTTTTTTCTTTTCTTTCTTTTAAATGATTACTTCATTTTCAAGCAAAATACAGCGTGAGAAATCGAACTTTTATTATAACAATTAATCGCAATATGTAACGATTTCTTTGTCTCTTTCGTGTGCCATAACCAAGACTCCATCGTACTCGGCAAAAAAACTGTTTGTTTTCCTTTGCGCCGTCTCGCTGCGTCATACGGCAATCTCTATATGGAAAGCGCATCCGAGAACAATCGCATTATCAATGCGTTGTCATTTTCAGCCGCCTCCCGCCACCGGCTGCCGTGGTGCCTCAGTGATTCTGTACTGCGTCGTGTGTCTGGTGGTATCTTGATTATTCTTTGGCAGAAAACAGGCGAGAAAAGCTCGCTGTTGCCACGACTGTGCGAATGTCAATGTGGCCACAAGCAAAAGAACCTACCCCCGGAATGGTTTTTTTTTTTTGTTGTCAACGGTCGCTACTGGGTGCTCTTATTTGTTACTCGTGATGACATCTGCTTAAGCCTGAGTAGGCTTCTAAAACACAATTTGTTGATAATCTCCGTAATTTGCGTCGCCTCCAATCGTGGCCGTTACACTAGCAGAACACGTATCCATGTTTGTGCGGGTTTGAAGACGTTCGTTCTTAAAGTATTGTAAAAGAAGAGTACCGCAAAAAAATATTTCATCTACAAGTATCAATACCGTTATTGTGGAGTTTTTCTTCATTGATGAAATCCGTGCTACGCCCGTATTCGCATTTATATGCTTTTCATCACGATGTCACGCACGAGTGTCGTACAAAAAAAAAGCGTTGTGCTTTACGCAATGACAAAGCGAGTCTCAGTCAGAATCTCTTTTATGCCAGACGTCAATCTGGTCGCTGCTAGTATAAGCCTAGTGCGGTTTCGTTTGACCCTGCCGTTCATGACATGAGAAAATCCTCATAAAACGAGCAACTCTAATTAATGTAATGCTAAGAAGGAAAATAAGTGTATCTGTAATACTTTCCTCTTGCTGCTCCTTAGCTTTACACGGAACAAGTCCTTCGACAGGGCCTGCTAACGGAGAGAAGGAAAAAAAGTCAGGGATCATGCTGCCCCGACAGCTGTCGAATGACTCGATGTCGTCAGTGAACTCGGCTAACTCACAAGGATCACAGCAATATCAACAGCAAGGCCAAATCTCGGGCAACAGTAACAATTCAGGCAGTTCCCTGCGAACGGATAAGGAACTACAGGATCCGACTGCTGTCGACAAAAAGGTTAAAAAGAAGAAGGGATCTGGCTGGCTGAGATCTAGCTTCGGGAAAGCCTTTTCTAGGGGTCAGTAGCACACAAATTCTGGTTATGATAATTAAGCTATTAAAATTTATACACAGATATGCCGACGATTAAACTAATCGTATGCTGACAAGTTAATTAGTACCGATTTCGTAATCTACAAAGTGTTGATTGCGTGTCAAGTACCGAAAGTATCTAGCGCGACGTACATCGTGTCTTTGGCTGTTGTTAGCTTTTATGCCAGTCATTCTGGGTGTCGCACGAATATAAATGCAGTCAACTTTCTATCATGACGTTAGTTGCCGACTGCAAGATGGTTGAGCAAATAACTTAAAGGGTGTTCTAAATTTATAGAAATAAAATAACTATAATTTTATCTATAGATAGATAGTTTTAGCTCTAATGTTCCGTCGTACGATATACTTGTGGATCGTCGAACTGTTTCATGAAACGGGTTATTTGGCAGGAAAATAGAGCATCGCTGCGATACCAAAAACAGTCACTTAGATTCAACAAGTCGGTTTCAGCATGTACGCAACGTTTATTGTGCAGTATAGAATATAGGGAGCGTCCATCGTGCTTCCTTAATTAGTCGATATCGCGCATACTTTTCTCTTTCTTTTTTTCAAATTGCTGTAGAGTTGCGCTAGTGGATCACTCACCTTTCTTTTGTTTCATTTATCAATGAAGCTCACGTTTAATAACTGAGTGAGGAAATCATTTTCAGAAGTTATAGACTCTTCAGCTCCGATTTCTCAATTTGTGTGCACCAGTAAAAACTGCTTGATAGCTAGCGTATATAATTAATTTATTTTAGGATTCGGTCATGGCTTTAGCAATGCGGGCTGGATTTTTTATTTTGACACTGCGAGTGTCACTCTTGTTGGCGGTATCTGTAAACAATATTTTGTTTACGACTAGAGAACACTACTCGGGCAATATCAAATCTACATAGAGAGAAGAAGCATCAAAGCATGTTCATTGTTTCTGTGAAGCTTCAGTTTCGTACAACTTACTGGATATAGCCGCGAGTGGGTGTCGTTCGTTTCGATCCGTACAAGTGGGAACACGTGACACACCCATCTGTCTGAATCTATTGGCAGCTAGAAGACATATGATAAAGAAAGCGACGAACCGTCATAGCGCCCTGTAGAGTAATCAATGCATTTTGTATGTTGTAGAGGGGAAACAACACCTCGAATATATAGGCTATACGAAAATCATAAGAAAACAGCCAACGGGTGGTCAGCGCATTTGATGACAGCTGGGTTATGCGTCATATTTTATGTTTTAAACAAAGGTGAACCTGTATTGCATTGAACTTGTTCTCAGGAAGTGCACGCTAACTGTGAATACGAGCTACAACAGCAGCTGCTCTGAAGTTGAGGTTTAAGACTGGGTAATTTGTTTTTTGAAAACAGGATAAAACAACGTGACATTGACGACTGCCGACTAACGTTAATTGGTTCTATCGATGCGTTTACGGAAACGTGTCGAGTGTCACAGAAAGAGCTATAGCTAAATTTTTTCGTTTTCTACTTGTGAACCAAATCCAAATTACTGTATATAACTTATGTAAATAAAAACTAAACAATCTTTTAAAACAACGTTCAACAACTTCTCGTGCAAAACGCAGGCAGCGGCGGTAGCGGCAAGGGCGAAGATACAAACGGTAGCGACTCGTCTGTGCCGAACTCGCCGCAGGTCCCCAGGAGCTGTCCACTGCCCCCCGCGCCTATCCAGGAGATGGCCGAAGGTGATGAGGCAGACGACAGCCCACAGGCATCCATGGCGGGAAGACAACCTACGATTGGTCAACAACAACAGCAGCAGCAAGCTAGTGGACAGCAACAACAACAACAACAACAACAGCAACAAGGGGCAACCCAGGAGTTAGTCGATGACCTGCGTAAACAGCTAAGAGACAAGGATATGGTCCTGACCGACATCCGGCTCGAGGCTTTATCCTCTGCCCATCAGCTTGATCAAATGAAGGAGATCGTCACAAAACTGAAGAATGAAATATCCCACTTGAAGGCCGAAAACGAGCGATTATCGCGTATAGTTGGGAGTGGCGGAGTCGGGTGCGGCCAAAATAATGGCGGCACAAATGGAGGGCAGAATTCCGAGAACAGTTCAGCCTGTTCGATACCTAGTTTACTCAAGGCACACTCACTTGAGTCGATCGAAAAACGATTATCATCTTCGGATCAGTCGGGATCACCCACGGTTGATATGTACCTTAATGATAACATCCAGGAAAGCCGTGATAGCAAACGCATCCCGATATCGGTCCACCTCAGAATCACTGGCGACCTTGACAAGATGCAGCCAGGTGGCTCCGATGATGAGATCTTCATCGGATGTGTTGCCGTTAGCAACAAGACGTCGTGGCCCCTACTGGACGCCATCGTTCGTAAAGCCTTCAAAGAGTATGTTCTGAAAATCGATCCAGCCTCGAACCTTGGGCTGAGCGCTGAGTCGGTTCAGTGTTATCACATCGGCAACCTGGTCCGTACGAAGGACACAATTCCAGAGCTCCTTCCCTGCGGTTATCTCGTCGGCGACGACATGCAAATCAAGGTAGTCGTCAAGGGAACAACCCAGCAGAGTTCGCTCGACGCGCTCGCCTTCGAGACGCTCATCCCAAAGTCGGTGCTCGCACGCTACATCAGTCTTTTGACAGAGCACCGTCGCATTATCCTTTGTGGACCAAGTGGGACGGGAAAAACGTTCCTTGCAGAAAAACTTGCTGAATTCTTGGCCAAAAAAGATAACAGTAACGAAAAAGGAGAAGGCACCATTGCAACATTCAACGTCGACCGAAACAGTCAGGCTGACCTGAAAGGTTACCTAGCCCATTTGGCCGAACAGTGCACGAAAAGAACGGGCGCCGAAAATGAAATCTCGGATACACCCCAAGTTTTGATTGTAGATAATTTGCACCATGTCGCATCGTTGTCCGATGTTTTCAACGGGCTCCTACATGCAAACAGCGAAAACTGCCCCTACATTATTGGTAAGCAGTAATAGGTAAAGGAAAATAAACGAATAATGAAAATCGGTACTTCAGTACTACATAAAAGGGTATAGTGTAACTAAACTTTTAATTAGCTTTCTATAGAATGTGTTCCATTCTTTAACTTCTCGAATAAAAACTACCTAATTCTCCTCAGTAAAAGTTTCCAACTGATGCAGCCGAAACAGTCGTCGTCACTAATTGCCTACTTGGCTACCTGATTCTGTAGGAACAATGAATCAAACAAGATGTTCGACGACAAACCTTCAACTATCGCACAACTTCCGTTGGATACTCTGCGCCAACCATATTGAGCCTGTTAAAGGACTTCTTGGCCGATGTTTGCGTCGGAGACTGGTAGACCACGAAGCGCGGACGAACCTAAGGAGTAGCCCTGAACTTCAGCAGGTCATCGAATGGATGCCCCAAGTTTGGATGCACATTAATAAGTTTCTCGAGGTAAGTACGTTCTACAGTTTATGTTCGTGGTTTAACCTAAATCAGATGTTTTCCTTTTTAGTAGAGGCTCCTTATGAGCCTGCTTATTTATGTTCGCCATTACCTAAGGCATTTGAAATCGGTTGTGTAAATGTTGGTTTGTGAGTTCGTTATTTGCATTGGTTCTCGCAGCCATCAGTGGCTAACATAGGGACAAATAAGGCTCTCACATATTTCTAAGTGCCTCTGTTAGCTAGGCTAACAATATGTAACCGCCGACATTTATCGCTGGGCCAATCTGTAGAATGCAGAGCGTGGAAGTGGGCGTCAGACACGCTTTGTGCATATTCGTTATGCTTTAGCCGACCGTTCGTGAGTCGGCGTGACAGTTGCCAACTAGATTAGATGAGTCAGATAAATATGATGCATCTGCGAAAATAGATGGCAGCTCTTAATACGACCCTCTTACTATTGCAGCGGTTTGTTCCGTTAAACTGGCAATAACGCTACGGGTGTGAGAGGTCGATCGCCCACTTGGTTCTTTCTCTCTTTTCTCTCAGCCATTATGATTGTCATCGTACGTGATTCTGAGCGTCGGCGTAACGGCAGTGCCCGACAGCCGGCTCTCAGTCACTAGGTCATGGCAGACGTACCGCCACTCGAGTTAACCCTTTTAACGTCCCTTGATAAAATTAGAGTAACTTGCTATCCATCTGAAAGACTCGGGGAAGTGCCACGAGAAAAAGCACTATAATTGAGCTAGCTGGTTGTCGTAATGAGTTGAGCTCGAAAAAAAAAATGTGTCCAGAGAGCATCTAGTAATATTTACTTGTAAAAAAAATTAAAATTACCAATTGACAACCAGGTTACCGAACCATTAGCGTTGAGCTAAATAATCAACCTTCCGTTCGTGTTTATTTCAGACGCACAACTCAGCGGATGCCACGATCGGTCCCCGTCTGTTCCTCAGTTGTCCGCTGGACGTCCTATCGGCACAGGTCTGGTTTAAAGACTTATGGAATTTTACTTTAGCCCCGTACCTTATAGAAGCAGCTCGTGAAGGACTCCAGCTATATGGTCAGCGGGCCGTAGGACCCTGGGAAGATCCGGTAGAGTGGCTTAAACAAAGCTACCCCTTCGAACACACGCGGGCTAGCCAAGAACTGTCGACCATCCGCGAAGAGGATATTACCTCTGGTGAAAGCACTACCCTCTCAAATCGGGATTCTGATCCTTTGGTGAGTGACCGAAAGAAAGCCTAAAGCCTTATTGCTGCTACATCGGCGAACGATGTAATACGGCAACGATGAGGTTAAGACGAACAATATTACCGGAAATCTGTCATTCAATAACCTGCTATTGCTATTCAATAACCTGTCTAAATGATTAGCCACCTTAAGGTAGTGGTCGACTTACGTTTGGCGCAACGATTTATCATAAAGTCACACGATCAAATTTTTTTTGTCATTTTTCAAATTTGATTTTTGTCAGTTTTCGTACGTTTTAGTTCGCGTTGTTATATTGTTTTGGGTTGCGTATCCGTTGTGTAAAAAGATGAAATGCAAACGCGCAAACGATTGTACAATACATGAAGTCTATGCATACATATCACAGTGGGCAGGGTTATTACCTTGTCCTTATGCCTTTCCTGCGCTTTTCTGTTTGCAGTTGAATATGCTGATGCGTCTTCAAGAGGCAGCCTCGTATTCACCTCAAACGAGCATCAGCGAAACTCCTGCGGATTGTAACTAGGCTTCAAGCTATAAATCTATTTCTGTTTGAAGCAGCAGTATCGAGCTCTGCCAGGTTAACAAGGGCATATCCTACAGAGAGAAACATGTACGTCGGCCGTTTATTGTAGAGAAGACGATTAACATTTGTCAACCAAGCTAGTACCCGTACGTAGAATCCTAATCCCGTACGTCCTGCGGCATGATCCAGGTGTTCTTGGGGCGTTGACAGCGAGACGTAAACAGTAAGGGAGCCGAATTCCAAACAGGAGGAGGTTGACTCAACTTTCATTACCTTCAAAGCTTACAACGTACAGCTGAAGACGACTACAAAGACTATCATCTGCTCAGCGAGAACCCATCGATGTAACTTGTATAAAATGTATCATATTCCTCAATAGATAGTACGCTGAGGTATTAGATACCGAGGATTGCCAATCGAAACTAATTCATATTCAGCCATCTACCTACTGAGACGGAAAATCTGCGGAGAGTGCGACCGGCACCTCGAATGCGTTCAGTGAAGTATTTAGCTGACTGATTTTCTGCATGTCGTGCGAGCTTGTGAGAATACACATACGAGAACGTGTTCGAACTGCTATGATTCAGCTCAGCTATATATCCTATGATGATGGTGGAAAAAAGCGACTAAATGGAGCGGACGGCAACGACGAGATCAAAAAGCCTCGAATGGAGGAGCTAGATATGGCTCGTGTGCTGGCCATCATGCGGCAGCCGTATCGAACGGACATTTGTTGAAATCTATGGCATGTCACATCAGAAATCGATCAGAAATTTTTGTGGAAAGCTCAAAACGAGAACAAACAGTGAAGATCACAAGCAGGAAAATTGATTGTACTGAAAAGCTGGTTGATGGTACACGAATATCTGATTGTCTCAATGAGCGTTTGCTTCTTTCTTTTCTTCTGGTAACGGAAGATGACGGAACCTTTATTATTCTATAATAGTATGACGAAAGAGATTATTATATTATGAAGATAGCAACGTCCCCCTACCAAAACGTATCGGTTTCTATTTTTTTCGACCAAAGATAAGTGATGATAAGGAGAAACGCAATGCAGCAAACGAAACAAAGAAAAATAAATAAACCTTTGTAATATACCTGGGAAGTTTGTACGTTTTGTTATTCAATATTCATAACAAACTAATAATAAAATATTAGTATTTTATTTATAGCTTTTAGTACTTCTCAGTAACAATGTAAGAGCAGAAGTCAAAGGTTTAAGAACGTCATTATATATACACCGATACATATAGGAAGGTGGGTTATTCGGGGGAGCTGAAACGCCACATGGTATGAATTGAGACAGACCAATCGGCTATTATATTTTGGTTTCTAATCGAGGCCAAGGAACCAGTTCTCTAATCGTTATTGATCGATAACATGCGTTGATTGATGAAATTAATTGGGCACCATGAAAGCAACATGTCCCGTCTGTATTTACTCTGGTAGTCCCAAACGTACTTACTTTCTAATATTGGTATTGTGAAATCTATGTAAGATAACAATAAGAAAAACACTCTGTCGTTCGGTTGAGTTACACAAGCACCGGTCATCTGCCCAGCTACGCTTCTTTCTTAAAATCGCAACGACTGAAGCTTCCGTTTTCGACTGTTACGCGGAATGACACGGTTATAATACCAGAAAAGCCCTAGTGCAAATGTGGTGATGATTGTAATGCATAAAAGTGCAAGGCAGGCTAAATACCTAAATGCCCACTCGCGGTATCTCAATTCAACCGACCCAGAGTGCGTAGTTCCAGCGCCGTTTTTAGACATACCACCATTATAAAAAAAAAAAAAAAAAAAACTAGATTAAAATAGGGCATACATCTACAAACTAGAAGAATACGCAGCTCGGCTTAACTTACAATGAATTCAGGTGACACTTAATTAACAGCTATGAAATTTATGGAGAACACGCTTCCGTAAACTTATGTACTACTTCGAGTCGGTCCCTTTTTGTGAGATACAGTGCCCAGACCCAGTATCAACTGAAAACAGTCTACAGTGTCTCGACCCAAATAAGATTCATCTCAACGCACCTTGCTTTATATATTGCATATATACAAGGACATTTATGACAGGCCTTTGCCTCACCGTCTATAAAATATTTTTTCTTTCGTATGAATTTTTTAGAAATTAATATGCTAGTTTTCAAGTGCAGACGGCCTTACGCTGTTTTACAGTATCTGATTACATGTTATGTACTATCACTATTATAATTATTATATATAACGGAATAGGCATTACTCCACTATAATAACAATGCACTTACTTACTTTGTTTTCTCAATCCTGCAATGCGTACTAGATGTTTTCGCTTGCACGGCATAAGCCAAATTGTTAGCATACATATTTGCTTGATTATTTATTTTTTAGCGGCGCCTGCTGGAAACGGACCTAATAAATCGAAAAGTACTTAACAAACCTACATAATACAATGGATCTCGCTGTGCAACTTCCCTTAGTATAAGATACGTCAGCTGAAGGTTGCCTAGCTTTGACGAAACCTGGTTCTAGGTTACATATTCCAAACAAGTGTTTTCGTATTACTACGCCTTCAAGTAATTACGATTCTAGTCGTTATATCGCGGGAGTTGTAGTTCGCAGCAGGAGAAGTTCATAGAATAACCTTCTATTAGTCTTAGCAAGCTAGCCGTATCATGTCGCTTTCAAATGCCGCGTCGCCGACACCCGTTCCGGAACTGCTGTGCGCGGATCCTTTGTTTTTTATCGCTGTGAGCCCGGGTGCCCATGTAAATGAAAAAAAAAAACACTGAATAATGAAATGAGGAACTTTTGCTATTCGCACACGCCCCTATTATTTCCTGTGAATAAGCGTTAATTCTGCCCCATGGCATTTCGAATAGGTCTTACAACAGTGCCCGTAAATTGCCAGAAATAGATCAATTTATCAGAACTAACTTATTAGCTATTCTCACTATTATCCTACATATTGTAGTGTTGCTACACATGTCGTAGTTTGTAGCACGAAGGTTACTAACAATGCGCTCGTCACGCAAAAAATCATGTAATACTCTAAAATAGAGCTGCAGATATCGGGTGCAGCAGGTTGTTCAGGAACGTCCTTACCTTAAGGTGTCTCTCCAGTAACAGACAACTACTTAACAAACATCGGCGATTTCCATCGACTTGACGCAATGGACTTTGAGTTATGTGTTTCTCCGTTATTGTTTAAGTTATTAATAACTTAAACAATACAACTTATTAATAAGTTGTATAACCGGGCACAAATATTCAGATATTGAACCGTACAACTATATGTTCCGAATAGAGAAAGGGGTTGTAACGTAGATTATATATCTTGAATTCGCGCGAAATATAATTGGAGACTGACCGATCTAAGAAGTCCACCAGGTTATTATTATTATTATAATCAATTAGCGTTTCGTTTTGCAAAGATCGGCAGTTGTCCCCTGTGCGTAATAGATTTAACTTTTAAAGCAGAAGGTGGCATAGGATAGGTTTACGTTTTCGCTCGTCTAGCTGTAAGTGCTAGATTTTATCCTGACATGGACTATCGGATCATCGCGACCGAAGCACTGGATCTTCCATGCGAACGGCATAGGCCCACTCCGCAGTATCACGCCCTGTCTGGACTTGGACCCAGGTTCTTCAAGTTAACACAACTATTGAAGTAGACATTTCATGCTTCCCCAACTTTTTACGCTCGTCTATCACTAAATACCCACTGGTTCAAATCCAACATTCGTGAACAATTTCATCGAAGTTGATGAACTTACGGTTTCAAGTATACGTAGCCGAGTGTCTGTAACAAACGTATTTATAATGTGCCGTTTGATTTAAAGCAATTGCGTTAACAATGGTGTGAAACAGTAAATGCAACGTCTAGCTATCCCGTCAACTTTCTCTATAAACTATTTGAGAAATGGTGGTTATCATACATGAGGTGATGAAGGGCTTTGTTTTGAATGGGTACGAATGGCAGCAGCGGAACTGCCTGTTCCAACGATAAGGACACATATAAATACCCTAAGCATAATTGTTGGAATATAGTTTTTTTAAATTTTTCAAATAATATCGGATTTTTTTCCAAATGAGCAATGTATACTCGATTTGAACATTAGGTATGTCTAGTATGGACAAAAAGGAACAATGGACTTTCTTCGTAATAAACGCTGTATTTGCCATCTACTAATGGAATAAAATCCGCAGCGTCGCAGTTCGTGCATGCACAGGCTTTTGCACGCATCTAATCAATCATGATTACCATTTTGAGCTAAAACGATGTCATGATACTTCCGCGTTCGCCTTCTAAAATACCAGTCTATTTTGCCCTTTTATCACCCTGCTTGCACAGAAAATACTGCTACGTCTCTTGAGGCAGCTAACATAGATAATGCTGTTTGAATAGGCCTTGTACACCATTTCGGCTCTCATGGTCCGAACCGATAGGCTGTTGCTCTTTCGTGCTGCTCTTTTCGTGTGGGTTTGTTCACAATAATTTGAAATGAGGACGTAACTATATAAACAAACTTTTTGAGCTCAGATTTATCAATACATAATTTATCCTTACTTTCCTGATGTAAACGTACGGCACTAGACGGCAAAACAGAACCTGAAGTTATGACACTTGAATGTCTAGTAGTTTTCCATAGCTCTAAATATATCCTCTACTGTGGTGATTGGGTTAGCAGACGTTAAGTTCAAACTACCAAGCGTAGAACAAAGATTCCATACAACTCTTATTGCTTCGCATGCGGATCTTCAATCGGTCTACTTTGCATTTAATTTATACGTGTCAGAATTTGCGTGACGATTTAGGTGTTTGCTGAATTGAAAACGACGTACCGTACGTTATAGCTCAATTCATCCTACAGGCGATTACTTGATTTTACAGGTGTCCTATCTTGTACTACGCAGATCATTCTTTCTAGCAAACGTATTCTTTCCCGCGCGAAATAGTCCACACGCAAGATGCCTTAGATGTTGGATTATTTCATACTCCGTATAATAGACGACAGGTGAACTGAGTTGAAAAATCAATGCCATATTAAATCTGCTAAGTTGACGCTTACGTTTCCATTGATTCTACTGTTCTTTTGCTCAAGCCCTATTAAGTTTCATCTATAGCTGAGCAGCACTTCGGCATTCAGGTTTTTCGGTCCATGCCCAACTCTTTTGCACAACGCCAAATCACCCATTTTGTTTGTTAAATCGGCGCTTCTCAACCACGAACATTTACTATATGAGAGACTATTAAATATAAAACGACGTGCTGAACCGCGGGGCGTCGTTGAAATCAGTAACATTATTACACCGTGTCTCTAGTCGCTCGTCCCCTACCTCAATCACTTGGTCCCTTAGGTTACATTTTATTACCTAGTGCCTCAGTTACGTCAAACGTTTCTAATCCTGTTTAGTTAGAGCGACACAGTTTGCGGAACTGTTTTGATACTGCAAATGTGTCATTGAATCAAGCCAGCTTAGATATCTTCCCCGCTCATCGCCCTAGAAACCACTATTCCCCTCTTTTAACAAGCCACTACAGTCTCGCTCCACTCCAACTAGCACGTTCACACAGTGCATGATGTATGTTCGGCACGCACAGCCGCTTACGTCCTTGTGACGTTGATTCAAAGCGTACGACCCATTATGCCTAGTACGATGCACCAAGTATTTGACAAATCACGAACATCGCAGACGTATGACCTATACGATAGCTCAATTATAAATTGTAGTTTTGAGCTCCTGTTCCCGCAGTGTTATTAGACATATCCATGGCTTGCCATTGATTTTGCAATGATTAAACGCACCCATAAAGATTTCTACCTCAGCTCGATTGCTGTTAGTGGCCTAGCACACATATAGATGTAGGAAAACAACAAGATATTTCTACTCAGACCTTATGTGCCTGGGGAATTTATGCTGAGCTAGCTTTGTGAAGCGGCCGACGTAAACAAAATTCGAATGAGATCAAGAAGCTGATCACACTATGTGTACCTGATAACAATCACCAACTGAAGACCGGTTACAAAACGAATTTGTTCTGAACGCACCAGGGGCGTATTAGCCGGAAGCATGGTAATTCATGGCCACCGCGTGTCTATTTGTTTTTGTACGTAGGAGTACCCACTACCTGTGACAGGCCCACGCATGTTGGAAATGATTGTCGTGCCAAATTTATTCGTATCTAGACTAAGGGCAGCCGGGGAAAATGAAAAAATGTCGCCTTGGAAAAAGCTCATCGGGATCACATTCTTATTTCCTGCGTATATATTTTGTTTCAAGTTTTTAATTATTAGCAAAAATATCAATTGTAAGCAGAACATATATCCAACAATTAACTACCGTCATTACACACACAGGGCGACAATTAAGCTTATGTATCATCTCATGCAAAATGCAGTTCATTAATGTTCATCTATATTTAAAGCAAAGGTATAACGAGCTATGTGCCTACAGTCGTTACCCAATCGAATAAATCCATTTTGTTCTGGTCGCGTTTGAGGGAAGATATTTCCGCGCTCGTACGAAATATCTTCACATGATAACTATCTCTATCGGTACCGAAAGTATCGCTTGAGAAGCGTCTTTCAGCCGCTTGGACTGAAGCGTATGGTGCAACGGTTCCTTGACACAACATGGCGTGCTATGCCCACTGTTACGACTAATTGAAGCGTCCGTTTTCCTCTACTTTTTCTTCGAGAAGATGTATAGCAGTTATCATTACTTTCATCTACTCGACGGAAACGAGGTTACTGTGAACACAGATCATTTTGAATTAATTCATCTTTGTGCATTTGTGATTATACATGAACTCGTAATGCGGTGACAAAATT